TTTAATGTGCACTATTTCTGGCAGTCTGCAAAGGCCCTTAGTGAGACACGGAGCCTTCTCTGTCAGAGAGCTCTGGGGCCACAATAAACTACAGCTCCCAGGATTCCCTAGCACTGAGCAAAGGGCAGTTAAAGCGGGCTCAAACTGGGTTATTTTCTGCAGTGTGCCCTGGGCCACAACAGGGAGCCCCGTCTCTCCCCCACCTTGACCCTCTTCCCCTGGATCTCCAGGCTCTTCATGGTGAAGTCCACGCCGATGGTGTTGCCCTGGCGCTCGGCGAAGGCCCCCGTCTTGAAGCGCTGCACCAGGCAGGTCTTGCCCACGCTGGCGTCGCCGATCAGCACCAGCTTGAAGAGGAAGTCGTAGCCCTCCTCCGGGTCCAGCCCTGGCCCTGGCCCCGGCCCCGGCCCCGGCCCCGGCGGCGGAGAGCCCCCGACCGACGGCGCCCCCGAGGCCATACATACAGAAAGGGCGGCCGCGCTCCCTCAGCCTTCTCCGCTCCGTTTGCTCGCCTGCCGCGGTTACCGGCTGGGCCTCCGCCTCCGCCTCCGCCTCAGCATCTTCCCCTTCTTCTTCCCCGGCCTGGCCTGGCCTGGCCTGACCGGGTGAGGGAGCGGGGCGGGCATGCGCAGGCGGAGCAGCCCAGGGTTTACCTCAGGCCCTCCTCCTCAACCGGCGCGGCCCGCCTTCGCCCCTCAGGAGGAAGGAGGAGAAGGAAGGAGAAGGAGAAGGCCGGGCCTAGCCCCTGCCCAAGAGAGGAGGAGAGGTGTCCCTCCTGGCAGGCTGACCAGATGTCCTCCCTCACCACCAGGCACCACAAAATGGAGGACATACCACCAGACCAAGACAAAAATAAAAGCTAAAAACCCTCATAGAGATATAAATTCATGCTTCTGAGTCAGGCTCAAAATGGAGGACATGTTGGAATCCCTCCTGAACAGAAGGTGGGAATGAAGGACCCCTGGTCACTCTGGGCCCACTGCCCAAGAGCCGGACATGATAGCATAATAAAAGCGAAAAACATTCATAGAGGTATAAGTTCATGCTTCTGAGTCAGGCTCAAAATGGAGGACATGTTGGAATTCCTCCTGGACAGAAGGCGGGAATGGAAAACCTCTGGTTACTCTGGGCCCACTGTCCAAGAGCCAGCCATGATGGATTAAAAGCAAAAAAATGCTCATAGATATATCAGTTCATGCTTCTGAGTCAGGCTCAAAATGGAGGACATGTTGGAATTCTTCCTGGACAGAAGGCGGGCATGGAGGACAGGTCCTGGGAAAGGAGGGGGACATCTGGTTACTGGACCCTCTGCCCAAGAGCCAACTGCCCTTGAAGAAGAAGTGCTCCCTTGGCAGGGTGACCAGCCGCCATAACCTCAAAGGAGGACATGGTATTACAAAATAGAGGACATTCCAGAAAAATGGCAGACATGACCAAATAAAAGCTACAAACACTCATATAAATTCCATTTCACACGGTTGATTTGCAGCTATGTTACATATTTATTGTTGTGTGCCTTCAAGTTGTTTCCAACTGATTGCGACCCTATCATAGATTTGTTGAGAGGAGATTAGGCTACATTTGTTGAGAGGAGTTTTGCCATTGCCTCCCTCTGAGGCTAAGAGAGTGTGACTTGCCCAAGGTAGCCAGACATCTTCCTCTTCCGTAGCACATCCTACATTCCAACCTTCTGCCCAGGAGGAATGTCAAAATGTCCCCCATTTTGAGTATGACTAAGAAGCATGAATTACTGCCTTCACACCAATCTCGACCCATGGTGACTCTGCTGATGAGACATCTCCAAGACCCTCTATCCTCCTCTGCTTGATTCCTGCAACCCTATACTCGTGATCTCCTTAATAGAGTCCATCCATCTAGCATAGGACCTTCCTCTCTTTCTACTTCCTCCCACCTTTCCTAGCATTGTTTTTTCCAATGATTCATGTCTTTTCATGATGTGTCCAAAGTACACCAGCCTAATTTTGTCATCCTGTCTTCCAGGGAGATTTCTGGCTTGATCTTCTCCAGGACCCATTTGTTTGTGTTTTTAGCTCTCCCCAGGATCCTCAGCACTCTTCTCCAGCACCACATCTCAAATGAATTGATGTTCTTTCTATCTTGTTTCTTAACTGTCCAGCTCTCACATCCATAAATGGTTATAGGGAAAACAATGACTTGTACAATTCTACCTTTTGTGCCCAGTTGTATATCTTTGCTTTTTATAACCTTTTCTAGTTCTTTCATAGCTGCCCTCCTCATTCTTAATCTGATTTCCTGGCTGCAGTCCCCATTCGAATCAATGTTTGGTCCCAGATATGAGAACTCTTTTACTATTTCTATTTCTTCATTGTCTAGGTTGAACTTGTGAAGGTCCTTGGTGGTCATTATTTTTGCTTTCTTTATATTCAACACTAAGCCTGCCTTTGCAATTTCTTCCTTTATTTTCCTTAGTAGGTGTTCCAGGTCTGTAAGATTTTCTGCTAGTATTATGGTGTCATCTGCATATTTTAGATTATTGATATTCCTTTCTCCTATTTTCACTCCTCCTTCTATGTCCAAGCCTGATTTTCTTATAATATGTTCTGCATACAAGTTGAACAGATAGGGTGAAAGTATGCAGTCTTGTCTGACTCCTTTGCCAATTGGGAACCATTCTATTTCTCTGTGTTTTGTTCTGACAGTAGCCTCTTGTCATGAGTACAAATTCCTCATTAAGTCTATCAGATGCGTTAGCACTCCCATGTCTTTAAAGGCGTTCCATAGCCTTTCATGATCTATGCAGTCAAAGGCTTTGCTATAGTCCAGGGGTCGGCAAGGTTTTCTTACCTGGGGCCGGCCTGCTGGCCTCCAGGTCTTCCGCGGGCCGAGGGTGGGGAAATGGCGGCACATGCACAAATGAGTCACGGCCGCCATTTTAGAAAACAAAATGGCAGCCGCGATGCGCTCGGTGGCGGCACGGCGGTGGCGCATGCAGTCGTGGCTGGGGTCGGCGGCGGGGTCGGCAGGGGGCAGTCCAGAGGCCTTGGGGGGCCGGCCCCGGCCCACGGGCCGTAGGTTGCCAACCCCTGCTATAATCTATAAAGCACATGCTGATTTTCTTTTGGAATTCCTTGGTGCACTCCATTAGTCATCGTATGTTTGCAATATGGTTCCTTGTGCCTCTTTCTTTCCTGAACCCTGCTTGGACCTCTGGGATTTCTCTCTCCATGTATGGTTGGAGTCTGTGTTGCAGAATTTTGGCAGAATTTTGCTTGCGTGGGAGATCAGTGCTATGGTCCTACAGTTGCTGCAGTCTCTTGTGTCTCCTTTTTGTGGATGGGGATGTATATTTATTGTT